GTGGGTCTCTGTGTCTGTCTCCTTTCATCACCTGATAAAGGTTAATATTCAGGAGGATGCGTATGTGTTTGTCTTTGGATTCACCTTCTTATTTAGCTTCTCTAGGATCACGAATTATAGGCTCAATGTCCTTTATTTATGGCTAGAAACCAAATATAAGTGAGTGCATCCCATGTTCCTCTTTTTTGGTCTTGCTAACCTCACTCAGGATAGTGTTTTCTATTTCCATCCATTTGTATGCAAACTTCAAGAAGTCATTGTTTTTTACTGCTGAGTAGTACTCTAATATGTATATATTCCATACTTTCTTCATCCATTCTTCCATTGAAGGGCATCTAGGTTGTTTCCAGGTTCTGGCTATTACAAACAATGCTGCTATGAACATAGTTGAGCATATACTTTTGTTGTATGATAGGGCCTCTCTTGAATATATTCCCAAGAGTGGTATTGCTGGGTCCAGGGGTAGGTTGATCGCAAATTTCCTGAGAAACCGCCACACTGCTTTCCAGAGTGGTTGCACAAGTTTGCATTCCCACCAGCAATGGATGAGTGTACCCCTTTCTCCACAACCTCTCCAGCAAAGTCTATCATTGGTGTTTTTGATTTTAGCCATTCTGACAGGTGTAAGATGGTATCTTAAAGTTGTCTTGATTTGCATTTCCCTGATGGCTAAGGAAGTTGAGCATGACCTTAAGTGTCTTTTGGCCATTTGAATTTCTTCTATTGAGAATTCTCTGTTCAGCTCAGTGCCCCATTTTATAATTGGGTTGATTAGCCTTTTACGGTCTAATTTCTTGAGTTCTTTATATATTTTGGAGATCAGACCTTTGTCAGTTGCGGGGTTGGTGAAGATCTCCCAGTAAGTGGGTTGCCTTTTTGTCTTAGTGACAGTGTCCTTTGCTTTACAGAAGTTTCTCAGTCTCAGGAGGTCCCATTTATTCAATGAGGCCCTTAATGTCTGTGATGCTGGGGTTCAAATTTGACATATTCTTGCCCGGCCTCAAGGCTTTTAATATCCTCTCCCTCTTCCTATCCACCCAACTTTCAATTCTTTCTTTAAGAAAAAGGGGCCTATATTGTCAGGCAATACTGACATGTGCCTTTAATATCAGCACTTGGGAGGCAGACTGATCTGTCCAGCATGGTCTGTTGAGAAAGGTACAGTGCACCCAACGATACACAAAGAAACCCTTCCTGGGAAGAAAACCTGTAAAAACACTAAATTATAAACAAATAAAATACACAGCAAAAAACTCTAGAGTCCATTTTATTTTGCTCAAGTTCTCCTGAATATGAGGCTTCATGGAAGTGCTTGATATACCCAGTATCCTTCCATTAGAGAAGATTGATTTTCCATCTTCCAGCAGATATAAATGATATTTCATTGGTAGCTTTTACCCTAGCATCTAGGTATTCATTCATTTTATACTTTTATTCATTTTTAACAAAATAAATTAGATTAAGATAGAACTATCACATCAAAATTGGACATTACAAGCCAACAAGTAAAAGAATACAATCGAAGAATCAGGGACTCATTCTTTCTCACACTTTGTAATTCCATACAAATACTGACCTGAAAGTCATATTATATAGACAGAGGACCTGTTACAAAATTCTACTTCTGTAGTAATCTGGGTGGCAGGGCTGTGTCCCTGGCCCCCAGCCTCCCCCACGGCTAGCTTTACCCAAAATAATTACACGGAAACTGTATTCTTTTATCACTGCTAGGGCCATTTCTATCTAGCCTCTTCTAGGCTAATTCTCACATATTAATTTAGCCCATTTCTAATCATCTGTGTTGCGCCAGTAGCTGCGCTTACCGGGAAGATTCTAGCCTATGTCCATCCAGGGTTGGAGCTTCATAGTGTGCGGCTGCCCAGGAGCCAGGAGCATGGCTTCTCTCTCAGGCGTCTGCTCCCGAGAGCACACCTCCCCTATGTGGAAAGTAACCCTACACTCACCATGGAGAAGCTGCTGAGCAGACACCTTCTCTCCCCACATGGGAGCCCAAGGCACTGTGCATGAAAGAGACTGATTTCTTCAGGAAGGGCTAAACTGGAAGGCTGGCTCCCAGAACCCTCCCATTTGACTGTCGGGTCTGCTAGAGGCTCTGATTAGTTAGTGAGGTCTAAGTATCAGAACCATGTGAGCAGAAGAATTCCCAGCACAGAATTCCCAGCACTGGCTGCAAATATAAAGACAGGCATATCTCAGATTGGCTGGAGATTTACATCAAATTCAACTGCAAGACTCTTGCAAAGGTAAATCAATGGGTTTGGTTTTCAAAGGAAGTATACAAATTCAGAAAGAGGCTAATCAGGCAATGTTGCACAAGAGGAATATTGGGTAAATCAAGAACATTATAAACAAAGTCCACAGTGGTGCTAGAACTGATAACCACAGTTTCCATCCTTCTGTGGAAAGTCTAGGGTTCTGAGGATCTGAAACAACCCTTTTCCAAAGGCCCTGGCCCCACATCTTTACCAGCTCTCCCAAGCATATTCCTGATAATAGAGACAGAGCTCTGCTGTTTCTCTATACATCATTGCCTAAGAGAAACCTCCCAAAGCCTAGGCAGGTTGCCAAAGTCAGAGAGGCCTAGTTTCAAGTATTTTCTAGAAGTTCTGTGCTTAGCATTTGACATTTAAGTGAAAGGCCCATTTGGAGTTAATTTGTGGAAGTTGTAAATGGCATCTCATGTACTGAGCAGTACTCCAGTACTAAGTTGCAATGTAGAAGACTAGAATTGGTGATATAATGGATTGACGAATGCTTAGGAGAGTTAGTCACACCAAGTAGAATTTAGCTGAGGGAGGGCTGCCTCAGAAATACTCCAAAGACAAGTAGTATGTTAATCAGGATTATTAAAGATTTGGATGCTCAAATGTAAATATTTATTTAACTTTTATTTATACATGTCTGTAGTGAAAAGAGCAAATGAGATACTCACTTATAGAATGGATAAAGAGACTGCCTGTGTAACTCTCTAGAGTAAGCTGGAGCATCATAGTTTTAAGAGGGATTTCTTAGTTGTGTTGTACTGGATGCTGTAAACATCAATTACATGATATTTTCTTATGTATTTGCTGTTTCTTGGAATCAAATACATACTTACTTTAAAACCCAAAAGCATGGTTATAGTAGTGATGCCATGGATCATATGAATAATGCCTTGTGTTTATCTAATGTTTAGTTGAACAGTTTGTATCGAGAAAAACAAATTTATTACATTATCATATACAGTTTCTATTCAGCTATCTTTCATTTGTTGTTGCTCAGCACTATCTTAAGACAAACGTTTGGTATCTTCCCATGATCACCCATGGCTGCTTACAAAGGATGACCACCATCAGTTTTGCTGAATGTTGACATTCCATCAAGAAAATAGCATCCCATTTGATCTTAGTACACAGCCTCTTTTCCAGGCAACTATATGCAATTCATCCCTAATGACATGGGACATTGTGGTTTTAAGAATGAGCTAGAGTATGTAGCCAGGGAACCATTTGAGTGGATCTTGATTCTGTGTTAGCACCTACCTATGAGAAATCCATCTTTGAAAGTGGGAATTTAAACCGGGCAGTGGTGGCGCACGCCTTTAATCCCAGCACTTGGGAGGCAGAGTCAGGCAGATCTCTATGGGTTCAAGACAAGCATGGTCTACAAGAGCTAGTCCCAGGACAGGCTACAAAACCACAGAGAAATTTACCATCAGTGTCCACTGAGAAAAATGTTGTAATGGAGAGTATATGGGCAGTGGAAGTGTAGAGAGAAGGTAAGCTCCACATATGCAGCTATGGGAGAGCCATTGTACATAGTGGATGGAGACATGCCTTGTGCTGCTTCTGTGTATCTTAGTTAGAGCTTCTATTGCTGTGAAGAGACACCATGACCACAGCAACACTTATAAGGGAAAATATTTGATTTGGCCTGGCTTACAGTTTCAGAGGATTTAGTCCATTATCATCATGGCAGAAAGCATGGAGAAAGAGCTGAGTGTTCTACATCCAGATCAGCAGGCAGCGGAAAGTGATTATGGCATAGTTCAACAAGGCCAGATCTCCTAATAGTGCCTCTCCATGGGACTTTGGGGGTCATTTTGATTCAAACAACCACAGAATCAAAACCCCATTTATGTACCTTTTCAACCATGCTCAGTAAATAAGCTCAATAAACACACTGGTTGGTTCCCAGGATGGACTTTGGTGAAATTGTAGTTTGTATCTTCATTGGGAATTATGGTTATGGGATAGAAATTGCTTCTGCCCCTTCCATGGCGGAGAAAATTCTCACAACAGATCATAAACATATTTGTTAATGTTCCAACTTATGATGATATTAGCAGAAAGGAAGAAGTACATAAAAGAACATGTTAGAAGAACATAAATATGTACATGACCATAATCAAAAAGGACTTAGATGTATGAACAAGATTAAGAATAGATGGCTCCAGGATAAAGAAGACTGGAAAGGTTTTACAAGCTATGAAGGTCTGAGTAAGTTGTTTAAGGTACATACGGATGAGACTTAGGAATCATTTATTTATTAAAGTTTGCAAGGGCAGATTCCAACTATTTCAAGGAGTGGTTGAAAGGTATGCCAAAGAAAGTCTATTGAGTTGTTTTTCTCTCATATGTGTTTATCCCTATTTCTTGACTTCAACATGATACAAACAGGCTTTAAAATATTTACAGCACTAGAAACATGGCTGGGCAATTAAGAAATATTCATTCCTAGGACCAAGGCCTAATTTTTGACAACTTCCTGTAATTCTTGCTACAAGAAGATCCGAGGGTCAAACATTCTCAGAAGCAAACATGAAAACTTTACATACTCACACAAACATATAATGACATCACACAATTACAATTAAAACAACTCTTTAAACAAACACTTTTTCACAGATGAAAGTTTCTCTTTTATAAGCATTCATTCCTATAACACAGGCATTGAGGTACCTTCAAAATAACTATGCTATAAGCAAAGGCTTTATTGCACTAATTACATTCATTAGATATCTCTCCAGTATGTCTTCTTTCATGTATTCGGAGACGACTGTGAAATGCAAAGGCTTTTCCACACTGATTACATTCATAGGGCTTCTCTCCAGTATGTCTTCTTTCATGTATTTGGAGATGACTGTGCCATGCAAAGGCTTTTCCACACTGATTACATTCATAGAGCTTCTCTCCAGTATGGCTTCTTTCATGTATTCGGAGATGACTCTGACACACAAAAGCTTTACCACACTGATTACATTCATAGGGCTTCTCTCCAGTATGGCTTCTTTCATGTATTCGGAGATGACTCTGACACACAAAAGCTTTACCACACTGATTACATTCATAGGGCTTCTCTCCAGTATGGCTTCTTTCATGTTTTCGGAGATAACTGTGACATGCAAAGCCTTTTCCACACTGATTACATTCATAGGGCTTCTCTCCAGTATGTGTTCTTTTATGTTCTTGTAGATGACTAAGCCATGCAAAGGCTTTTCCACACTGATTACATTCATAGGGCTTCTCTCCAGTATGGGTTCTTTCATGACGTTGAAGATGGCTGTGTCGTGCAAAGGCTTTTCCACACTGATTACATTCATAGGGCTTCTCTCCAGTATGTGTTCTTTCATGTTTTCGGAGATAACTGTGACGTGCAAAGGCTTTTCCACACTGATTACATTCATAGGGCTTCTCTCCAGTATGGGATCTTTCATGATTTCGGAGATAACTGTGACATGCAAAGGCTTTTCCACACTGATTACATTCATAGGGCTTCTCTCCAGTATGGCTTCTTTTATGTATTCGGAGACTACTGTGAAATGCAAAGGCTTTTTCACACTGATTACATTCATAGGGCTTCTCTCCAGTATGTGTTCTTTCATGTTTTCGGAGATAACTGTGACGTGCAAAGGCTTTTCCACACTGATTACATTCATAGGGCTTCTCTCCAGTATGGGTTCTTTCATGTTTTCGGAGATAACTGTGACATGCAAAGGCTTTTCCACACTGATTACATTCATAGGGCTTCTCTCCAGTATGGCTTCTCTTATGTTTTTGGAGACTACTATGACGTTTAAAGGCTTTTCCACACTGATTACATTTATAGCGTTTCTCTCCAGTATGTGTTCTTTTATGTACTTGTCGATGACTGTGATGTGCAAAGACTTTACAACACTGATTACATTCACAGGCCTTCTCTCCAGTATGTGTTCTTTTATGTATCTGAAGAGGAGTGTGATGTAAAAAGGCTTTACCACATTCGTTATGTTCATAGGGTTTCAATCTAGTATGTGTTCTTTCAAGCCTGTGTAGATGACTGTCACATGTGAAGGCTTTAACACATTGAGTATATACAGAAGCTTTCTCTCTAGTTTGACTTTTTTCATGCCTGTAATGATAGTTGTACATGTGAAAGAATTAGCACATTCATTGTTGAATATTTTTATCTGTATGAATTAATTTTACAATTTGGTCCAATTTTAAAGAGAAATAATATCTTAAGGTTTTATCACCATGTTTACAATCTTGTTGTTCCCCTTCACTAAGGCTTGTTTTGCATATTTGAAGACAATAGATAACAGCCTTTATTACATGGTTCACATTTACAGAATCTTTCTTCTGTATGAGAATTTTTACCTATTTGAAGAGAACTGAAAAATCTCAGATCTTCACCACCCTTGTTGCATTCATAAAGTTTCCTATAGCCCGGCGGTGGTGGCGCACGCCTTTAATCCCAGCACTTGGGAGGCAGAGGCAGGCGGATCTCTGTGAGTTCGAGGCCAGCCTGGTCTACAAGAGCTAGTGCCAGGACAGGCTCCAAAGCTACAGAGAAACCCTGTCTCGAAAAACTAAAAAAATAAAAAAATAAATAAATAAATAAATAAATAAATAAATAAAGTTTCCTATATTGTGAGTGATACTACATTTGGTAAGTGAACTATGACAAACAGAAGTACTTACACAGTCCTGGTACTCATGATGCTTTTCTGAAATGTGAGCTTACTGATATATTAACTATGAGGCTAGAAAACCAATTACTTATATACTTGTCCAACAAATTCAACAAGTATATTCAACATGGGGACTGCTACATATCTTCTAATTGTTCGGAGAAAAAGGTATGTTATCTATTTTCACATCCCTATGCTCATGGGGCTTGTATCCAGAGTAACATATGACATACCTAGTAAAAGAAAAATAACAAATATAAGGTTTCCACATTGAGTTCACACAGTTTGACTTTATGTTCATAGACTTGTGGTATATGGTTAAGGCCTCTCCATAACAGCTGCCCCTTGACTGTTGACTTTAACTGCCCCCTCACTAAACTTTGCACAGTCACAAGTCTATGAGTTAAACGACCTTTTCTATGGACTATTAGTATAATAGAGTTTTAGAGAGATACTTGTCACCTTTTCAATATGTATATATTATATATATATATATGAAATAAATGGATTGATAATTCTACAATATAGCTCTCATCATATTATGACTCAAATTTTAATATATTTTAAGACATTGTTTCCTTATCTTCCTTCTTAAAAGAATGGCTTGCAAATGCAGTTCACTTATCTGAAATTAAGGTATATGATTTTGTGAGAATTTAAAATTCATCAATGCACTTTAGTATTTACACTGTTGCTTTTGTTTAAAGCTTATAGGATGCATTACACATTCTTCAGAGATACAATTCTATCAGCTTACACATGAAAATTACCTTTCATGTCTTCTAGAACTTTGACAATGTTCTTCAATATTATGGTCTTCCCAATTGTATCCTAAAATATAATGCCAGAATATGTATGTTATATATTGAAATGTGTAAAAAAAATTCGTTACCATTTGCATTGAACCTTACAGCCATGCCTGATTTATTCATTTCATTCTTCTTCTTCCTCAATCATATTACAAAAGAGCACCAGTTACCAATGAACAATTGTCCCCTTATTTTAAAACACGAAATATAATTCAGTCTTACCTATACTAGTGAGGTTTCTGTAGGTTTCCAACATCACATCTTTGTAGAGACTCCTCTGGGTAGGATCCAGCAAATTCCATTCTTCCCAAGTGAAGTCGATATGTACATCACCATAGGTCACTGCATTCTGAAATATTCCATACATTTGTACAACAGAAATCATGACTTTGACAACACTGCAAATGTATACTTCTTTGACAGTATAGTCATATAGCTTTGGTGCTCCCCATACTTATTCTATGAAATAGACATAATTTAATTACCAAGTCACTTTAGAAACAAACTGAATGGAAGATTCGTCTCTGTAATTTATGAACCCTTTGAAATGCCTATTAACAAACAATAAAAGATAAGTAAACAGATCAACAATACAGAGGACACATGAGAGAAATTGCATGGATGATTAATTTCTAACTACAAAAAAAGAAAAGTAAGATAGGCAAGCTGGGTGTATTGAATCATGCCTTTAATCCTTGCACTCAGAAGGCAGAGACATATATCTATCTGCCTCTGAGTTGAATGGCCTAGTCCATGCAATCACTTCTAGGACAGCCATAAATATATATTAAGGATCTGTTTCCATTTAAAAGTCAATCAAACAAACATAAAAGATAGAAAGAACTCAGAGGTTTTTGCTGTAGTTCCTGAAAAGAGTTATCTATTTACTCCAGCTCTTTATTCATCTATGAGAAACCTGAAGTGTCTCAATTTAAACTGCAACATAAATAAGATTTTACTTAAAGCACTGGATGTTTAAAAAGTTATAAATGGACAAATGAAAGCATCAAATATATATGTTGATTACAAATAATCAACACTGAGCAGGAAAGATGTTTCAACAGTAAAGAGTACTCCTGGTCTGACTCAAGGAATTACATGGGGGGATCACAACTATTCATTATACCAAGTTCAGGGTTCCTAGTTCCATCTTTTAATCAACGTAAGGATCAGGCACTCACATGGTACATATCCATGTACAAGTAAATACTCATATTAAAATAAAAATTCAAACAAAACAAAACAGGACGGAAGAAGGTGATGCACCTGCAATCCAATGACTCAGAAAGCACAACCAGTGTCAATGTCATGAATACATGCCATCCTGGGAAACATAATGATACCCTCTGTCAAATTTTAAAATTCAAGATATGGGTGAAGCTCAGTATATGCTTGATAGGAACAAAACCATCATACAACAATATAAAAACAAAAAAAAAAAAAAATCAAGGCTCACTTTTAATCCCAGTACTTGGGAATCAGCGTTAGGGGATCTCTGAGTTTGAAGCCAGCCTGGTATACACAGCAACTTTCAGGACATCTAGGGCTACACAGACAAATCTTGTATTCAGAAATAAACAAACAAAAATGAAAACTGTAGGCTACCAAACTGTCTTAGGATCAAATAGCAGTTAATTTTGCTGAATCTTATGTGATTTGGTGATAGAGTTTATAATGGTAGGAAAGTCATGACAGCAAAAGAAGAAAGCTGACGGATTAGTTTCAACCACAACATAGCAGGCACAAAGAACAGGGAATAGGTTGAGGCGATAGAAACTCATATCACATGTCCAATGAGGAATTTCATCCAGAAAGGCTCCTCCTCCTACTGGATTCACAAGCAATCAAATGAAAGTTGACAAGAAGAGGGAGATGTTCAAATACATCTTCCTATATGAGAGGTTTTCATTCAATCAATTACATTCTGACCTGGGTCACTATAGACTCATGGTAACCAATGAAGGAAAATGCGTTTAGGGTTACGGTTAAGAATCACTTTGCTTACACCTTCCATAAGTTGAATGCTTATGTGAATGGAGTCTTACCCTTAGAGCACCTTGCTAGGCTTCCATTCTATAGCAAGGGCCTTCTCTATAATGGTGATAAAATCCTCAAAAATCCCTGCCTGTTCCAGTAATTGACTGCCATAAGAAACTGCCTTTTCATTTTCATTTATTTCTGCCCAACTTGGTGTTTATTTTTCACTATAGACTTGAATAAATCATCAGTAATAACCATCCACCACATTCAATATTCCATTTAAGGAATTAGCTCATATTTTTAAATTCTGCTTTACTAAATTTCCAGGTCAGAGGCAGAAAAAGAAATATTTTGGAGCCAAAATATCACACAAATAACCTCCAGCTTAATCAATTTCAACTGAAATTCTATGATTTCAATCTCCACTTTCTGTCATTTCTCTTAACATTTCCGTCTTTCTGATCCTACAAGAACATCTAATTAATTCTGTGTACTACTTTCTAAATTTTTGCCAACTAAAATTTTGATATCTTCTATACTTTTCCAAGAGACATCACTCCCAGGTTCTGTCTAGCAACAATATTACTTTTGGTTCTCCATTTTTTGTTCTAACTTGCATTTATATATCACCAATTAAATCTTTTAATGAAAAGCAGCTCAGAAAATGAGTGGGGGTAATTTGGCTTCATCATTTTGGGAGCTTAGGATAGAAAAGCAAGCTAATAGTTGAAGGCAAAAATACATGGACAAGGAGTGTTTCATGGCTTTCTTTCTTGCCTAGTCAGATTGGTGCCTTTTGTATCCCAAGCCCACTTTCTTAGAGATATTGCCACCCACAGTGGAGGAGCCATCACACATCAATCATCAATCAACACAATCTCTCCCAGATATAGCAGTTTATGGCTTTTATGAACAAAGCCACTATGAACACAGTTGACCAAATGTCCTTGTGGTGGTATCTTTTGGGTATATGTTCAAGAGTGGTAAACATTTGTCTTGAGGTAGTTTGACTCCCAATTTCCTGAGGACTGCATATTAATTTCTAGATTGGCTGTACAAGTTTGCACGTGTGACAGCAATGAATCCCCTTGCTATATGTCCTTGCCAGCATTAGCTGTCACCTGTCTTATAGACCTTATCAGTTCTAAGACTTGTAAGATGAAATCTCAACATAGTTTTGATATTCATTTCCCTAATGGCTAAGGATGTAGAACATGTCTTCAGGTGTTTCTCAGTCACTTCAGATTCCTATACTGAGAATTCTGTTTAGAGGTGTTGCCCATTATAATTGGATTATTTGGTTTGGTTTGTTGTTGTCTAGTTATTTTCATTTCTTTAATATACTAGGTGAGGAAACACAGAATCACATAGATAAACATGATATGTATTTACTTATAGGTGGATATTACCAGTTAAGTAAAGTATAATCACAGTAATCACAGTTAATCACAGTACAATCCTTAGACACAGAGAGGCTAAGTAACAAGAACAGGTCTACAGGAGATGAATGCATCTCGTTGGTAAGAAGAAATAAAACAGATTTTATGGGTGCAGTGGAGGCAGGTGGGGATGGGAACAGGAAGGATCAGGTGAGTGAAGAAAAGACAGATGGGGAGAAGACAGGGAGAGATAACTGGAATAGGGAAACATTTAACAGGGGTTGTAGAAACAGTATAGCGAAAACTTTCCTGAACCTATAAAGGTAACCCTAGTGAGGACTCCTAGTACTCAAGAGGAGGCTGAACTAGCCATCTTCTGTAACCACATAAGGTTCCCAGTGGAACTGCGACACCAAGCCAGCCACAAAACATTCAACCCACACTTGTACTACCTGCAAGATATGCTGGGACACTGGTGGCTTAGAGCTTTCTTAGTGGCGAATAGATGACTGGTCTAACTTGAAACTCATACTGTGAGAGGAAGTCCATAAGTGACACTGCCTAGATGGCCAGGAACCAGAAATTGAATGGCTCAGAACAGGGGTAGAACCAAATACATTTGACCAAGAAAAAAATATCAATGAAATGATTCATAACTATTTTCTGCTATTATCATAGATTGCTGTTTAGCCTACTTGTTATTAAAGAGGCTTCTTCCAGGGGCTGATGCAAGCCCATGCAGCGATCCCTACAAACAAAAAGTAGGAAGCAGTATGGAGAGAACTACTACCAAATTCCCAAATATTGCTTATAAACATTTGTTTACATTTAAAGGAGCCATGATACAGAGATAATACATTGTATTTGTATCGATTTTGACCTAATGATAAAAATTTAAGGTCAACTGTTTTATATATATATACAACTATATGTGTTTGTGTGTGTGTGTGTGTGTATGTGTGTTCTTGTTTAAGGTATTATATTTGTGCAGCTCATTTAAAGATGCAATGTATAGTAAAGAAATACAAGCCTGCCCTGTTGTCTGCAAGGTCCTTGGCTCTGGAACAGTTTCCTGCTCCTGCACCAAGGCTACCCACCCAGAGGGGTGAGTGTCTGCCTACCAGGCAGGCCTGAACGTCCCAGCAAGGAAGTGTGGGCACCTTCAGCTTGGAATCCAGGGTCTCCTGTGTTCTACTCGACCCTGCCTTGTTCCCCACTTTAGCCCTTTTGTCTGCAGGTCCTTAGGCTACCAGGCGTGCCTGTTTCAGTGCTGAGGAGTTCCATCTGGATGGTGATGAGGAGTTCCATACAGACAGGAACAGTTCCTGCTTCTACACTGAGGAGATCCACCCAGAGAATCAGTCACAGCAAAGACGAGACAAAGACACCAGACCTCTCCTGGCTTCATTTGAAGGAAGTGATGGGCAGGTGCCAATGTAAGAATTCCTCCAACAACCAGAAAGGCAACATGACATCACCAGAATCTAGGGATCCCAAAACAAGAAGAATCGAACACCCTACTCCAGAAGAAATAGAAGATATCGACTTTAAATGGAACTAAGTGAAAATGGACTTTAAACAGGAGGTGAAAAATTGCCATGAAGAAATAGAGATGGACAAACAAAAAGATAGAGGAAATGAATAAACCTCTGAAAGATACCCAAGAAAAACAAGAGAAACAAGAAAAAGCAATCAAACAGGTAAGGAAAACAGTTCAAGACTTGAAGAATGAAATGGAGGTAATGAAGAAAACACAAACCAAGGGAAGGATGGAGATGGAAAATCTGGGTAAAGAAACAGGAACTACAGAGACAAGTATTACCAACAGAATACAAGAGATAGAAGAAAGAATCTCAGACACTGAAGATACCACAGAGAAAATGAACGCACTGATCAAAGAAAACAGCAAATACAACAAATGCTCATCACAAAACATTCAGGAAATCTGGGACACAATAAAATGACCAAAGCTAAGAATAATAGGGGTAGAAGAAGGAAAAGTACAGAT